GGAGGGGGACACTGAATCACCATCAGCAGCCCAAGGCTGATGCCCATGAGGCCAGACATGCCACCACCTTCCAACCTTTTCACCAATTCTGACACTAACCATATCTCCCAAGGCACACTCTACTTCTCTGCTGGGTTGGACAATTCACTGCAATGGCCATGTAGAACTCACAGACAACATCACGATTCTGGGGTTTATTAGGCAAGTAACAGGTTATAACTCAGGACCAGGAACACTCAGGATGTAGTTCTTCTATCAGGACCACCTTCCCTCGGCCGTGCCCTCAGACATGCCTCTCTGTGGCCCTTGGGCTCTCAGCCTGGCCTTCGCCCTGGTTCGGACAGCGGTTACAGAGCTCTTTTAAGTTCTGCCGATAGGTGCACCCCACTCCGTCAGCAAGCCCCCTGCCCAGGGGCACCCGGCTTTCTCACTCCAAGGGCCAGCAAGTCCATTCATCTGTCCTGTGCCGGGCTCTCGGGTCTGCTACCGCCATCCCTCTGCCATCTCAGCACCGAGCTCTTGGGTCCAAGGACACACTCCTCTCCTGGCTGCTGTCTGTCTTGATGGCAGTGAGAATTCTCCTTCTGCATCTAGCAGGGCTCACTTTAAGCTGAGCGCATGACAAAACTAACCAATCCCCACTTTAGGGTTCCATACACCTACTTCCACAGTCCCACCCCGACAAGGGTGCTGAGTACCTTATTTACATTGTTAGTAAGGTGTCCTGTCCCCTTGTTGGGCCACAGCACCTTATATTTGCATAGTTCCACCCAGCCATCAGGTGGGAGTCACAAAGACTGTGGCTCAGAGACCAAGTCATTCTCTGCACCATGGTTTCGGGCTTGAGAGCCTCCCTGATTCCTCCCATCACAACCCCAGAAGAGAAGTGAAAGGGTCTTTTCTCCAGCCTGCCACCCACTCACCCACTGCCTGTGACCTCCCAGCCCAAGGCCCTTTGTGTCTGTGGGAGGCGCTGCTATCCCTGACTTAGGTGAGCTGGGAACCCTTCCTGCCCGCTCTGGTTGAAGACAGATTCTGGCCTGCATCCTGACCTTTTCTTCTCTCCGTCCTTCCTGGGGCCCAGTTTGTCTCCTGCTCTGGACCGGCCCATCATGCTTGTGCTCTTCTGCCCCTCCCTTCCTCCTTTGGCTTCTTCGATGCTAAGCCAAACCCTGATAGCTCACATCTTGAAGGCAGAATGGTTTGCATCACTCTGCCTTGCTCCGGTCTTCTCTGCAAACTTGGTCCTGCCAGGCAAAAGCTAGGATACTTGTCTCAACTGAAGCGACCTTAGTGGTCACTGAGCTGGCCTCTCCTCATGTTGAATTTCCGAGACAGCACTTTCCCAAAGTGTTTCCTGGGAACACTAGGTTGCTAAGATGCACCTGCTCCAGTGGCAAAACCCGGAACGACACAGAGGATCGTCGCTCTGCTGAGTCCGTGTGCTGTTTCCCTCTTGTAAGCTCCGGACACATTACCACGCGGAGGGCTCTGGAAAGTTCCACACTAGAGAAACCTGTTTACTTTAGCTCAGAGTCTAAGTAACAGAGACTTCGCTCCTAGCTGGTTTGTAGGAGCTCTCCTTACTTTTCAGGTCTCGTTCTAGTTGGTTGTCTTTGCCAGAATACCTTTGGGTTTAGTAAAAGTCTGTCTCTGTCACATACACAAAGCCCGGCTCTGGTTGCCCTTTGGGGCCCCTGGGAAGCTGAGAAGGTCCCTGGGTGGCCCCAGTGGTTTGCAGTCAGCTGCTAACCTACAAGGTGATGGTGCAAACCCTCCCACTGACAGCAGATGGAAGACTCGACGATGTGCTTCTGTGAGGAGGACAGCCAGGAAAGCCAGGTGGAGAGGTTCTGCTGTGGGACACATGGGGCTGTCTTAAGCTGGAATCGACTCCAGGGCAGCAGGTTTGGGTTTGCTTCAGGAAGTTTAAAAGCATCATCAGAAGACAGACCCCTGCTTACCTGGGCCACCCACCCCACCCTCCACCTCCTTCCTTGCTTAGAGTCTTGACTAACTGTTGCAGCCACTGACAGGCCGCACTTTGCCCATGACCTCCCTGAAGTGTGGGTCTGTGTGGCTTTGAGCAGACTGCTGCCAGGTGTAGAGGACTGTGGCCTCCTTTGCTCTGTACTCAAGACTTTTTGTTCTCACTGTTGTGACTTTGTCCATGAGGTCTTTTGGGGTTTTGGGGTTTTTTTAATTGTGGAAAATATGTGTAACATAAAAATGTACTCTCTTAAACCTTCCTAAGTGTATAATTCAAGGGCTGTAAATACATTCACAGTGTTGTACAACCATCCCAAACCAAATCGAACCGAACCTGCTGCTATCAAGTTGACTCTGACTCATGGCAGCCCTAAAGGACAGAGCAGAACTGCCCCATGGGGTTTCCTAGTGGCTGTGACCATAGGCTGAAGCATAGCAGGGATTGTGGGGATGGTGCGGGACCAGGCCGTGTGTCCTTGTGTTGGACGTAGGGTTGCTGTGAGTTGGATCTGACTCAATGGCACCTAACAGCAACAATTTTTACCAGCACAGACTGCTACGTCTTTCTCCCACCAGCTCCTGTAACCTTCCCCAAACCCCTTGTTACCTCTAGCCTTTCTAACTATGAATTTGCCAATTCTAGATATTTCTATGGAATATATTCTATATGGAATATAGAATTTCTGTGGAATCGTACAATATTTGACTTTTGGTGTCTGACCACATAGTGCATGATTCCATGTACATGAACTGTCCAGAATAGGCAAATCTATGTAGATTCTTGGTGGCCAGGGGTCAGCAGTGGGAGTGACTGTGAACGGGCACAGGTTTCTTTTTGGAGGGATGAAAATGTCCTGGAATCAGCTACACTGTGGGGAATTGCAGTCAGTGTCATGAAGCAAAATGTGCATGAACTGCTGTACGGACAATTAATTTCAATGAATTTTCTCTGTAAACTTTCACCCAAATCACAATAACAGTTAAAAAAAAGAAAAAATGTCCTGGAATTAGGTCATGATGATAGTTGTACAGCCTGTGATTTACAAAACCCTCAGAATTGTATGTTTCAAAAGAGTAACTTTTATAGTGTATAAATTACACCGCAATAAAGCTATTACTTTACCTAAAAAAGTTAAAAAAAAAAAAAAAGTAAGTGAGGTTGGTCCCCGAGTCGTTTTTAATGAACCCGTGGGAGTCGTTGCTTCCATCTTACGTGCTCACACACCATCCTTTGATGATGCTGGGTCTGGGGCTGAGACACCTTAGTTCAAATGCAGACAGACCTCGCTTTATTGTGCTCCAGAGACTGCGTTTTTCACCAATTGAAGATTTGTGGCAATCTTGTATCAAGCAAGTCTGTTGGTGCCATTTTTCCAACAGTATTTCCAACTTTTTCGTCATGTTATTGCACACTTGATTCCAGATTCCAGTATAGTATAAACATAACTTTTATATGCACTGGGAAACCCCAAAATTCACGTGACTCACCTTATTCTGATGTTCACTCTATTGTAATGATCTGGAATCAAACCCACAGTGTCTCTGAGGTGTGCCAGTACTCTGCCTACCTCCTGGAAACCCAGACATGCCTTGCTGGTTTCCAGGCCTGGGAGCCTGACCATTCCAAGCTCCTCAGAGCTCATAGCACCCATCCAGGGATCTCAGGCTCCCTCAGGCCCTTGGTGTAATCCTTCCAGGCAAGGAGGCCACCCCCAGTGGGAGCACAAAGTATACACAGAGAGGGAGGTGGTGGACATTAACCACCCAAGGAGAAGGGCAGACAGTGGGTGCTGTTGGAGATTTGAGGAGGCCATGGGGGCTCCCTGAGCTCTTGTGGGGAAGGGTGGGGAAGGCCACAGAGGGAGTGGGTCACTGTGGGTGGGAGAAAGGCATGAGGCGAGCCCCACGGCTGGAAAGGAGCCCCCTGGGTGCCTGACCTCTGGTCTTAAATACCACCAGCCCACGCTGGTCCATTTCTCATTGTTCGCAGGCTACATTTCTTGGATGGTGGGTGGTGGTAGTGGTTCCTAGCAGTGATGAGGTTTTGCTGTTGGGGAAGCGGGGGGAGAGATGGATAAGAGGAAGCCTGGTTTTTCTAGGAAGGTGTTTATACCTGAGCAATGAAGCATCTCTGGGAAGTGGGTCCAAGTACACGAGGAGAGGACTGGTGGCTGGGAGGGAGCAGGGGATGGGATGATGGAGAAGGTTCCAGCAGGGCTTTCCTAGCTACTGGGGAGAAGAGGGGGGCCTGCACCTCCCCCCAAGGTTTGTTTTGTTTCCAGGCAGTGGGCTGGAGTGCCACAGGGTCGGCCAGCAGAAGGGCCCATTTCTGTGAGAGGCTGTAGCTGAAACTCAGCAGAGAGGACAGCGCTGGCAGTCACTCTCACTGATGTGACCATTCAGAGCCCATGAGTGCTCCCCAGGACAGAGTGTAAAACCCGAGAGCAGAGCCTGATTGACAGCTATAGCCCCTGGAGCTACAGGGAACCGGAAGGGAAGGAGGAGGAAGAGGGCTTTAAAGGAGAGGTTGGTGGAAATGGATGTGGTGACAGAAATGGATGTGGTGGCAGAGATGACAGGGATGGTGACCAAGAGAAGGCCCCTGGGGGGAGCGGTTCTGTTCATTTCCTGTGAGTTTATTCATGGGGTGTGTGCGGGGCAGGGGCACTTCCACACTCCTCCAGTGTCCAGCATCAGGAAGTTGTTGGTCAGTGTGTGTGGATCGAGAGAAATAAAGATAACCAAGATATGGTTTTCATCCTTGAGAACCCTGGGGCCAAGTTGAGATCGAAGACATGAAAACCGATGTGTACTTGCCAGATCCGCCTGCAGTGGGACAAAATGCAAATGCATCTCGAGGGGAGAAGCTTCCCCTGGACTGGGGCATTGCAGAGCAGAAGATGCTGGGGTCTTATTTCCTTTAGTAACTGAGCCCAAAGGACTCATTTGTGAAAGAATACCAAGGGTCTTGAGTGGTCCTCCCTCACAAGGCCCTCCCTCTGGCCCCGCAGGTACGATGCCGGGCGGGATGGCTACATTGACCTGATGGAACTGAAGCTGATGATGGAGAAGCTGGGGGCCCCCCAGACCCACCTGGGCCTGAAGGCCATGATCAAGGAGGTGGACGAGGACTTGGATGACAAGCTGAGCTTCCGTGAGGTACCTGTGTGCTGCTGGTTTGGGACCTGGGATGGTGCCCCAAGAGAGCTCGGAGTTAGTCCTGTCGGGCCTGAGTGGGCCTGTCCACTCCAGAGCACTGGTTTTGAATACTCAACCTGCAGTTCTGCTTTTTTTTTTTTTTTAAAAAAAAAGCAGTGCTATTGCAGGAAAATTCCCAGTAAACAGATTGAAAAACCAATGTGGGGAATATAACTCATTGGGGTAAAACTGTACATAAAGAGAAATCTGAAAGGACCTTCACTCAAAATTCCTAGTGAGTGTTTATGTATTAAAACATTTCAATAATAAGTGTTCTAAAATAGTAACAAAGCAAAACAAATAATAGTAATACAGGGGTCTGACTCCATGCCCATGGTTCTCCCCTTCCAGACAGTCCAGACATGAGCTTCATTGCTCTTTGAACTCCTGAAATTTAGGCACACTTCTGTGTGTGTTCAGGTATTGTCCCGCGAAGAGGGCCTAGAACATTCACAGCCTGAGCCCCGAATGGTCAAGGATCTCGGTGATAAAGCCATTTCTAGTTTCGGGGGGAAAAGTCTCAATGTCATTTGCTTTCTTCCATGACAAGATGCAGCCCTACAAAGGAGGGCATTCCCTGTGTCTTAGTTTTATTGAAAGGCCTCTAGCTTGTCAGTGTGGCCTGTGATGATGATAACGTTGATGACAACATCTGAGCTGAAGTCTTGTTCTCAGTCATGGCTTAGCTGGGGCCCTCGGGAGCTGGGAGTAGAGAGGACTGCCCTTGATATTTTGGCTGTTCTAGAAAAGATGTCTTCTGGGTTTTAATGGTGAGACCTTTAGCCAAGTGCAAGTCTTTGTCCAAGCTAGACAGGGCCATTCATGCTCTTCTTGGGGGTCTCTGAGGATGAACCGGCAGCCGCCAGCCCCTTCCTTAGCTGGGATGAAACTGGGCTTGCCCCTGGCTCTTGACATGCTTCCACCAGTCTACTCCAGAGTATCCCATCTGTTTTTTCTGGAACTGACAAATGAGTTAGTAGATCACAGAAAACCTGTGATGGGCTTAACCTTCAGGAAAATCTAGCCCAGTTTTCTCATTTCAGAGCTAGAAGACCAAAAGTTGGGACTTGTGTGAGGCCAGGTGCCAGGTCACTGGCCTCGTGCCACTGAGCCCCACCCTCACCCACCACACTCTTCTTTGAGCTGCCCTTCTAGTCCCCTCCTTTCTCATTTGGTTCTTCAGTGTCATTCAAGCATCCTGCAGGGCCTTTCCAACCCAGGCAACAGGGAGTGTAGAAGGTATAATAGGCTCTGGCCTCGATGAAGCTTTGGAGGAAACATTGGGGAAAGAACTTCTGTAGCAAAGTTGTAACCTCTGGGGAACAGAAATGAAGAGGGTATTCAGAGATCTGTGCACGTCACCAACCAAGCAAAGACATCTCCCCTGCTCCCCAGTTTTGCTCAGGGGCTACCCAGAGGCACTTCTCCCCAATTCTAAGATGCTTGGTTCCTTTTGGCTAGCTGGTAACTTGGCCATTTCCTACAAATGGTAGACATCAGAGGCTTAGCTACCTCCAAAAACTGTATCGCAGCCTCTTGCAGGAAGCTTCAGTGGCCTTTGTATTAGAGCCTTTGCCACTATTGCTTTTCCACAACCTATTGTCCTGTATCTAGCTGGGGCGCCCAGAAGCACAGGTTTTGGAACTGTAAGGACACATTTGCTATTCATACTCCACTGCCCAACCTCCTGCTTTTATCTCACTCTGCTGCCCCCGCCCCCCCAAGTGCTGTAAGTCCTAGTGGGCTGGTGCTGTGTTTATGCAGTGAAAAGAGCATGCATGGCTTTACAGCCACACCTCAGACTTCTACACAGAGTTCTGTAACCTGAGCAGGTTAGTATACTTCTGAGCCTCCGTTTCTCTGTCTTTAAAATAGGGCTGTTGCTAGCTTTCCCTCTGGACTATTGTGAAAACTAGGCTCTCTCTCTGGGCCAATGTTGGTTAAGATTCTTGGTTGCAAGTGACAGAAAGAGAATGAAACTAACTTAAGGAAGAAACCTGATGACATGCCTGGGAGATAGCGTGGAATGGTTTCAGGCACAAGTAACCCAGGGTCTTTCTCTTGCCGAATCTTGGCTGTACTTTCTTCTAGGTCTGCTTCATCCTCTCCTTCCACACAGGGTATTGTCCCTGGGGCCTCCCAAGATGGCTGCCAGCAGCTGCAGGCTGACATTGCCTGGTTTAACAGTCTGAGGGAATAGAGGGCTTCTTTTTCCCAGAATTCATATCAGTCCCAGAGGAAGGCCTCTGATTGGCCCTACAAGGGTCACCTATCTACCTCCTGGACCAGTCATTGCATTCAGGGTACCGTGATTGGCTGGATCGGGGTCATGTGCCATCGAGCACCACATGGGGTGGGGGCTGGCAGCTAGACAAAATTGCCCACTTGTACTTTTCCTTCCTCAATTCTTGGCACTTAGTAGGTGCTCAGTGAGAGCTTTTGTTCCTTTCTTCCCCATTGGATGAACTCACCAAAGCAAATCATGCTCAAGCAGAAGCTCTCTGATACAAAATGAGTATCCCCACAAGTACCATTTGCTGCTTTTCCACAACTTATAAGAGAGCTGGTCTTTCTCTTAAACCACTTATGTTCCAATTATGGAAAATAATACATACGTACAAGAGATGTTTACAAAATGACTAAAAAAACCCAAAAACCCAAACTCACTGCTGTTGAGTCGATTTGACTCAGTGACCGCTCCTTGGGTTTCAAAGGTGGTATTTCTACAGAAGTAGATTGCGCACGCTTCCTTCCAAGGAGTTGCTGGTGGGTTTGAACTGCCAGACTTCTGGTTAGCAGTCAAATGACACACAGAATATTAAGAAAGGTGATGCAGCAGAGTGTTTCATGGCCACAGCACAATGTAAAAAGAAGGGACAAGAGCAGATTGCCCAGCGGTATATAAGTGCAGTTTGTATGTGTTATTTATGTGAGTGTTTATGTATGTGTACAAACAAACGAGAAACACCACCAGACCCACTGCCGTCAAGTTGATTCTGACTCATAGCAATCCTGTCGGACAGAGTGGAACCTCCCCTTAGGGTTTCCAAGGCTGTAAATCTTTACCAAAGCAGACTGCCACATCTTTCTCCCATGGAGTGGCCGGTGAGTTCATACTGCCTGCTTTTTGGTTGGCACCCAAGCACTTTAACCACTACACCACCAGGGCTCCACGTGTGTGTGCAGACATATAGACAAGAGGCCGCAAGGGTGGACCAAAAGGTCACAGTTCTGTGTCTGGCTCTAGTGATTCAGAACTGAATTGCAGGCACTCCCTCCCTCATTCTCCTTTGGAGGCTGGCCCAAAGCCAGCATAGCCTCATCTGCCCTTAGTGTCTTCGTTAATTCCAATATTTTGGTCACAAAGAGAGTTGCTCCAGGGCCAGATACACAGTGGTTTTGTACAAAGGTTAGATGATGGACTTAATGGAGATATTCCTGTACTGGGAATTGTGGGTCCCATTCTCTCCTCCCACCCCAGTCTTCCCAGTGTGGGTTCCTGGTAGTCCTAGCTGTGCCGGGTTGCCCACCTACCTGGACATGGTTGATTGGACCCCTGGCCAGACTGGGCCAATCGGATTCTCTACTCTGGAAATTTGAATTAGGAACTGAGATAGTGCACATGGGCTCGACAGGTGGCTGGTTCCTGAAAGAATAACTCATTGGGGCTGTGTTCTACTTGTAGACCAGACATGGAGGGGAAATGTTGCCTCTGATCCCTAAAGGTCATCGCTTCAACTCCAGCCTCCTCTGGGCTGCTGCTCCTGCCTGTGGGTTTCTGGGCCATCCTTTTTCTAAGTCGATTACCTCCTTTGTCCTTACGCTAACATGTTTGTCTGTCCTTGTCAATCCAAGTGCTTTAACCAATGTAGGAGAAGCTTGTGTGACTAGCCAGAGCCATGAAGTTCAACATTTCCTAACATTAACGGAAGCGTTTGCTAGCTTGTCTCAGACAGGACTCATGGCTTTGTTAATTCTCTCTCTCTCTCTGTCTCTTTGTTTTCTGATTCTGCTCTCCTCCCCCTCTTCCCTCCTAGTCACAGTTAGGACATTTTCCAATTCTTCCACAACATACCAGTCTTTGTGGACTATAAATAGGAAGCCAACAAGGCCCAATGGCTGTACAGTTGGAGAACTTATCCTGCAGTGGTGGTTAGTGATAGTAGTGATGTTAAGTGGCAATGCCTGGCCTGCTTGGTACCAAATGTCTTAGTCTAGGTTCTCTACAGAAGTAAAACCAGTGATGCTTATATATATTTAGATAGACAGACAGGCAGACAGACAGACAGATAGATGATAGATAGATAGATAGATAGTTGTTGTTGTTGTTGTTGTTATGTGCCATCGAGTCGGCCCCGACTCATAGCGACCCCTCCTTGGGTTTCCGAGGCAGTATCACTACAGAAGTAGGATTGCCCAACCTTCCTTCCGAGGAGTGGCTGGTGGGTTTGAACCACCAGCCTTCTGGTTAGCAGTCAAGTGCTCTATGAGTCGGGGCCGACTCGACGGCACATAACAACAACAATAACCCATTTCAGATTGAATTGCACTTGTTTTGTCTTTAGCTGGCTGGTGGGGAAGGACCCATTGGGGATGACAGGGTTGCTGCCGGTTGTCTGCTGAGCAGGTGCGGTGGGGACCTGCAGTCTGGGTCCACACTGGATCTCAGCGTTCAGAGAGAACCACTCTGGGGAGAAGACCCAAGAGGACTATGTGAGGTAATTTTCCTTGTTCCCAGAGTTCTTCTGTAAGTGTAGCACCATCTTGGCTCTTTTTGGTGTGAGAAAGCAGAATGGGCTGCTGTGGAGGGCCTTCTTGTTCTGTGTTTGCCTGATAGGGGAACCTTGAGATTGGAACCTTCTAGAAAGGAAACACTTTGAAGGATGGCTGGGGAGCTTGAGGGACAGATATTTCTGTGCCTTCCCTCCGAGCAGGGCTCACTGTGGCAAAAAGTCTTTGGTGCTGAAATACCACCCTTGAGAGTTTGACCTTGATAGTCCCCTCTACTCCCATTGACCTTGACTCTATCTTCCCAACCTCACCTTCTTGTTTTCCAATACTTCTCTCCAGGAAAGTTCTGGCTTCAACCAACCATACAGGCGGGGTGAGTTGAGTCTTTGCTGGCCTCTAGCGGGGATGTTTGCAGCTGCAGGCGATGAAGAAGGCATTTCTGTCAGGCTGAGCAGATGTTATTGGCCTCAGCAAAGCTATGAATGTTGGAGCATCTTGCTGACCCCCGGCAATGCTCCACAGTGGGCTTGGAACCCCCACAGCAAGGAAGACAAGGAAAGGTTTATTAGTGCAGCATTTTTGGGTTCTTCTTGTTGTGGGGGTTGAGACTTTCACTTGAATGAAATACCCTGGAGAAAGCCCTCTTCCTGTGATGACTTGGAATATATCCATTTAGATTCTTTCCAAATGGAAAAATAGATTATGGAAGCTGGATATCAGTTGTTTGACGATTACAGATGTAAAAAAGAGAACTGGACAAAAAAAAAAAGAAAAGAAAAGAAAAGAAAAACCACCAAAAACCAACAACAGCAGAAAATGATCCTGAAGAGGTGATAGGAAGATGGGGGCGTGCCCTGCCTTTCAAGGTTGGCCTGTTGATTTATTTAACTCTCATTCCGAGGGGGGCCTCAGCACAAGGTGGTTTCAATGAAGACATCATCCCAGTCTCCTTTTGAATCTGGAGGAACGGGATGGATTATTCAGTAAGTGCTATGAGGATTCCTAACTAATTATTTGCAAGAAAATAAGGTTAATGATCAACCTCACAGGGTAGACCAGAATAAATTTTAGAGATTAAAGATTTACACGTTTTTTTTTTTTTTTTTTTTTTTTAAACAGAAGCCATAGAAGTATTAGACCAAAACGTAGGTGAGTGTTTATGTAAACTTCATGGTGAGGAGGGTTTTTCTAGCCTAACAGTAGCGCGAGAGAGAGAGAAAAAAAATGTAGAAGTGAAAAAACAAAACAAAACATGGAATTAAAAGGTGAAGGACAGGGGTGAAATAATTAGATGTCAGGGTCTGTAAAGTTCTTGGAAAAGAGCAAGAAAGGTGAACTCTAACACACATATGGGGCACTCAAGAAACAAAAATGGAAAATACTCAATAATTTCTTTCACAGAAATGAGATAGACAACAGTTCTCTTTGATTCTTCTCTCTGGCTGTGGACCAGGTCATTGCCACGGTTTTGCTTTGAAAAAGGATGCTTCGTAAACTATCATGGGACTGTTCCTGGGGCCTGCAGTCCCAGGCGTGGAACTAATGGTTGGAAGGGCGTATGCTTTATGCTTTTGGTAAACGTTTCCAAAGAGGACACTGGTGCTTCAGTGGTAGAGTTCGTGCCTTCCACACTGGACGCCTGGGTTCGATTCCCAGCCAGTGCACCGTGTGGGCGGGCACCACCCGTCTGTCAGTGGGGGCTTGTGTGGTGCTATGGCGTCAGGCGGGTTTCAGAGCGCATCTGGACTAAGACAGACCAGGAAGAGAGGCCTGGGAATCTACTTCTGGAAACCAGCCAACAAACACCCTACGGATCAAAGAGCCTGATGTGCTCTGATGAGGGGGGCACAGGGCCGGGCAGCATTTCATCCCACTGTCCATGGGGTCACCATGGGCTGGGGGCTGGCGCAACGACAACTAACAACAGCAAACATTTCCCAAAGGCCCGGCAAGTTTGAATCAATTTATATTCCTGCCAACTAGGGAAGAGGGTGCACATTTCCCCACATTTTCATTGTTGACAATCTGATAGAAGTAATTCATTGTACACCCCATCCACCTCCCTTTTTTAATAGGTTTGGCAATAAAGCTTCAGCTTGGGCCAGAGAGGAGTCTTGTAAATCTCCTGGGAGGCCAGCCCTGGCTCTCACCACCTCTTCTGTTTTCTCTCCTTCCTGGTAGTTCCTGCTTATTTTCCACAAGGCTGCAGCTGGAGACCTGCAGGAGGACAGTGGCCTGATGGCGCTGGCAGAACGCTCTGAGATTGATGTTGCCCTCGAGGGCGTCAAAGGCGCCAAGGACTTCTTTGAGGCCAAGGTAGGTGCCTTGTTGCCCCTGTCTGCCGTCACCCTGCCCAACAGGAGCTCTCTTGTCAGTGAACTGTCTCATGAACTCGCACATGACATGTGGGACCAACCACCGCTCAGACTGAATCATCCACAAGGGCAAGGAAATGAGGACAGTGGGCATCTGGGTGTAATCCAGAATTATGGGTGTCTGCATGTGCACCTGCGTAAAGTAGAAATGAGAAACAAAACAAAAAAGTTAGACAGCGAAAGGTCCAATCCTGGTTTGGGGTTCAAACAGGGTTTGCTTGGGTGGTGCCCCAAGATGGGCTCTTGATGCAGACTCTCCTAAGGAATCTCTTTCCACCCCAACCCCAGCTGAGTCACTTGAACTGCTCCCTCCATCTTTGCATCTCAAACACCTGTTGTCGTGATCAAGTGGCTGATGGCGCCAGATGTAGGGCCGTGGCAGCTCACCCTGAATATCTTTGCTCCGTTGACAGTGGTTCATAGTTGGCAAGGATTCTCCAGCCCACTGGCCCAGAGCCTTCTGGGCTCTCCCGTTCGTTCACGTGCTCAGTAAACACTCCTGAGAGCCTTCCTCTGCCTGGGTGCTGTCATCTTCATCTCCACAGAGCACACCTGCAGAGGCAGGAGCAGGAAGCCCTCCAAACCCCCTCCAGAGCAGCAGAGGCAAGTTCAGGACCCACAGTGACTTCCTGTGCGAGCTCTCCACGCCTCAGCTTCCTCATCTGTAAAATGGGGATGATAATACAGGATGCAATGAGTTAATATATATGAGTTGTTTAGTAAGTGCCTGGCGTTCAGTGAGTATCCCTGACACAGGATGAGCTGTTGGGACTTCCCACCACTCCAGACAGGAACCACCTCCTTGTGGAGTTTTTGCTTTTTCCAGAAGGTTTCCCAGAAACAAGTGTCATTGGGGACACATCCCAGCCTGCTCAGGACCCTATGCAGGTGCAAAAAAGGCAGGGGAGGTGTCATCTGACCGCCTATAACTTCACGAGGGGAAGAGAGGATCACCAGAAGCATCATTAGCCCAAGATGGATTCCTATGAGGCAGAGATTAGATATGCCACCATCCTCCAACCTTTTTGCAAATTCTAACACCAACCGTCCCTCCCATGGCACGTGCTACTTCTCTGCTAGGTTCCATAATTCATTGCAATGGCCACACATAACTCAGACAATACTGGAGATGACGGGGTTTGTTAGGGACGTAACAGATTACGATTCAGGTTCAGGAAGACTTGGGGTGGAGTTCTTCCTTCAGGTCAGCCTCACCTCAGCCATGCCCATCAGCACACCTCTCTTTGGCCCTTGCCCCCTCGGCCTAGCCTCTGCTCTGCTCAGGCAAGTGCTCCAAAGCTTTTTTAGCTCTGCCAATAGATGCCCAGAGAGGCACCCCACTCCGCCAGCAAGGCTCCTGCCCAAAGGCACTCAGCTTTCTCACTCTGTGGGCCAGGAAACCCACTGCTCTGCCCCATGCCAGTCTCCTGTTCTGTTTGTCCTGCTGCCTCTCCTGCTGTCACCTTGCTGCTGTCTTAGTGCAGGACTCTTGGGTCCAAGGATAAGCTCTGCTCCTGGCTCTTCCTTCCTGATGGTAGTACGATTTCCTCTTTCTGCCTTTGAGATGGCCCATTTTAAGCCTAGTGAGACGGTAACACTGACCAGTCCTCTTGGTGATCAACAAATGCCTCACTACTTCTGGAAACCAGCCAACAAACACCGTAGTCCCACCCCGTCATCTGCTGGGGTCACCATAGCTAGAAGACCTGTATTAAGTAATTCGCAGACCACCGCAGGAGGTTCCTTGCTTTAGCGATGCCACTTAGAGGCAGATCCGTTATCTTCTGCCGATACGCAAACTGGGAGTCATGGTGGACCCCGAATGCCTTTTGTCTGAGTCCAAGCACTCATCAAGCCTTGAATGCTATTGCCATGTGTCCTGCTTTGAAAGTGACTTGGGCCTTCCTTGGTGGTTTAACACTGATTCAGCAAAGCTCCGGCAATGCCAGGCCCACGGGAAGCTCCAGAGAAACAAATCCTTTACGACAGTGAAGGGGACAGAACTGTACCCCCCCACCAGGCACACCCAGTCTGGGGGCAAACTCTGGGCATCAGTGGAAAGCCTGGGGGAGGGGGAGGAGAGGGGCAAGGGGAATCCTCGTGGCACTGGGTTCTCTGGTCATTGATGCAGTCAACACTTGCAGATCTTTTGTGATGTTTTAGGAAAGATCCCAAGGTTGGGAGCCCAAGGTTAGTAGGACATGTTTTCACTCTAATGGGACACAAACTGCTATGGAGCAGTGGCAGTGGTGTGTGAGAAGTCTATGGGAACGTCTGGCCTTGGCGCTGGGGACCTTTCACAATCTGGCTCTGATCTCTGCTTCAGCCTCATCCACCCCTGAGAACTTCTTCAAAGGCTGTCGCCCCACCTTTTCACAACTAGGCCTGAGTACCTGCCTGGCCGGAGTGCCCCACCCAAACGCCTCTTCCCAGAAAACTCTGCTCATTCTCTAAGACCCACGTTGGAGAATTGCCTCCACTTGGCTGCTGCTTCTGATGGCCAGGTCAAGAGTGTGCACCCTCTTCTGCGTGCCTCTGTTACCAATGGCAGTGGCATGGTGATGTATCTGTTACAGGTGCTCTTAGACACTCTGGAAAGAGTGTAAATTGACCCACCCTTTTCGGAGAGCAAGTTTGGAACTCCCATACTGAACCCATTGCAGTCGGTAGGTTCCTACTCATGGACACTATAGGACAGAGTAGAACTGCCACTGAGGGTTGTAATCTTTGTGGAAGTAGATTGCTACTTCTTTCTCCTGTGGAGCAGCTGGTGGGTTCGAACTGCTAACCTTTCAGTTAGCAGCTAAGTGCTTGAGCATTGCACCACCAGAACTCTTTTTATTTTGGGACTAGTTTTAACATTTCAAATCCTTCAGCCCTGGAATACCACCTCTAGTGTTTTATCCTTCAGAGGCACTCCCACGAATGGACACAGATACGTGGCCAAGGATTTTTATACAGCCCTGTTAGTAACAGAGCAAAACTAAAACTAAAACTTCTATTTTCAAGGCATTGAGCTCATTGTGATACATCCATATATTTGAACACACTGCAGCCATTAAGAATGAGTTGCAGCTGTGTGAATATGCAAAGATATCCAAAATAAATTAAGCCAAACAGTATAAATGCTAGCCCAATCTTGTTAAATAATATTAATGCATACTCGTGGATAATATACCAAACTATTGGTAATAGTTACGTCCGAGGGACTTTCTATTTTCGTAAAATTTTACAATGCATGTGCATTATTTTTATAGTTGGGCAAAAAGATGAAAAGAATAACAATACATTTTTCAGCGGGCTGTGTTTTTATGTCTGCCTCCTGGCCCAGACCCAGGCAGAGGGAGGTGTGTCATCTTTGTAATTACAGGGCTGGAAGATAATGGCCCTCAACAAAGGCTCCGTGTGATGACAAATAGAGGGAGTCATCATTTGGGTCTGGGAGAGGGCCTTAAAGGAGCTGACGTTTGTGACCTGTGTTCGGAAATGAATAAGGTTTCACCTTGTAATCAAGGGAGGGGAGGTGTTCCTGGCGTGGGAACGGGGTGCAGAGGCTTTATGCTGTGGAGGGTGAGGGGTGTTTGGGGGTTGATGAAGTCTCTGGATGTGGTGAGGACACAGGCCGCTGAGGGGGTGGGGCTGACAAGGGGACGACAAGATGAAAACGCTCAGATCAAGGAACTGGGCCAGTGCGTCTCACCTATGTCATTGCACACATGGTAGGTGGTGTGTGTGTGGCATGCTGAGGAGGGTGGCCATGTCCACATGCAGTCGGTTGAATAGTTGTCAGTTTCCGTCGAGTAGATTCCGGGTCACGGCGGCACCCTGTGTGAAGAGCAGAATGGCTCCCGCTGGGTTCTCAAGGCCACAGCCTTTCAGAAGCAGATTGCCAGGCTCATCTTGTGAGGCGCCTGCGGTGGACTCGACCAGCCTTTCAGCTAGCAGTTAAGTGCTTAACCAGTTGTGCCCCCGGGGATTCTGCAGGTTGCCTAGTGGCCACCTCAACTTCATGTGACCTTGTTTGGAATGCGGTCTAAGGTGAGAATCCAGATGAAGTCATACTTGACAGGGTGGGCCTTCAGCGCAATGAGAGTGTCCTTATAAGGGACGGAAAAGACTACAGGAAGGCCGTGTGATGATAGACAGAGACTGGAGCGTTGGTGCCATGAGCCAAGGAATGGCTTGGGCCCTCAGAACCTGAAAGAGGTGAGGAAGTATTCTCCCCCACATTCTTCAGGGGGAGCCCAGCGCTGGTGACACCTCGGTTTCAGACTGGTAGCCTCTAGAACTGAATACGTTTCTGTAGTTTGTGGCCACCAGGCTTGTGGTAATTTGTTATGACAGCCTTATTGTTGCTGCTTGCCAGCAAGTCAACTCCGAGTCATGGCACCCCTGTTGTGTCCAAGGAGAACTGCAATCCACAGGGTTTTCAGTGGCTGATTTTCTGGAAGCAGACAACCAGGCCGTCCTTTCAAGGCACCCCCGGATGGATTTGAACTTCTGACCTCTCTGTCTGCAGCTGAGCCCAGTTACTCACACCCGGGACTCCCAGATAAGCTCAGAAGCATAGACAATTATAAACGTGGCAAAATTAATCAGGAAATGATGACTTTTGACTATGTGTTACTTTTGTTTTCAATATAATTTATTTAACTGTAAATGTATATGATGTGATTTTTTGTAATGGTGATTATTGAACAGCGAGCCCTCAAAATTCCTGAAAATTTAACAAGCAGCTTATGAGCAGGTACACCCTAGCACACCCCGGGGGCTTAGGAATATAATGTGAACCAACCAGGTCTCACTGCCCTCATGTGCTGAACCACAGGCTCAGCAGGAGAGGACAGGATGGCTGGCAGAGGAGCTCTCTTCTGCTTTTTCTAAGGAAGCGAGGGGAGGTAGGCTATGGAGTGTGGCAGGACCCGGCGTGGGCCGTGGCGGTGTGGACGACCACTGTGGGAAAGAGATGAGGGAGGAGGGCTGAGCCCTGTTGAAGGACCTGCCCAAAGTGGAAATCTGATACTCCCGTGGATCTGGACACCGTGTTTGTGAGACTTCTAAAATACTGTGTCCTCATCCCGGAAGGAGGAGGTGACAAAATCCTCGATCCAAGGGCGGGGCTTGAGTGAAGAGGGAAGGGACAGCGTATGAGGCGGAAGTGCCTGTCTCCGTGGAGTTGAAGGTACTGTGACAAGTGTTGCAAGGATTTCCCAGGAGTCCATGAAAGGTTGGAAGGTAAACCAGGGCAAGACCAACACACCAGGGGGTAGGATCTTGAGTCCCTGGTGAAGAGAAAGGGTAGGAGTTACTGGAGGCAGGTTGAGGAGGGGGAGCAAAGGCAGGAGAAGGGGGGAGCTTCAGAGGTCAGGTTTCAGCCCAAAGTTGGGGCCAGAGGCTGAAAGGGCTGGTGTGTTGATGAGACACCAGTCCAGGCAATTAAACCCATTCGCTGGGGGTGGGGATGGACGTCTATAATGAACGTGAGTGGACGGGTGAGAACTGCTGGACAAGGGCACATGGGAAGCAGGGCCTCCTGTGCAGAAGAGACACCTGCGGAATTTGGAAGGCCCTACCCCCAGGGATTCTGATTCAGCAAGAGTTAAGAACATAACAGGAGCCTTGGTGGTGCAGTGCTAACCAAAAGATCAGTGGTTGAAACCCACCAGCCGCTCTACGGGAGAAAAATGTGACAGTCAACTTGTGTAAAGGTGATAGCCTTGGAAACCCATGGGGCAGTTCTACTCTGTCCCATAGGGCTGCTGAGTCTGAATTATCTCAACGGCAATGAGTTTGAGTGGTTTTAAGAACATAACACTTCCTGTTAATATTCTCAGAGGTATCCTGCCTTAGAAATGGACCCTATACGAAATGCAGAAAGAATCTAGAAAATGAATATTATGATTTTTCACTGAAATGTGAGAATTCACACTGGGCCACAAAGGAGTGTGACAAAAAAATCACAAAGGACTAATTTGTCTAACGTGATAAGTCTCAGCTACAACACTGCAGAGCCATGGATGTGTGAATGAGAGAAGAGGCAACAGAGACACCTCAAAGTGTCTCAAACGTGGAAGCCAGTAACAGAGGAATGAGGGGATCCGAGGGGTGAGGCACAAGGGGTGAGCCAGTTCCAAACCAGTGAGGGATCCTGATATGTCAATGTGTAAGTCATTAAAAACACAGTGGAAGGAGGGCTTTCCTACCGAAGTTGAGAAGACAAGTAGAAAGCTTGATGACTAAGTCATTTAGAAAGTTACCTCTGGCTCAGCTCCCCCTCTCTAAAATATAGTAGGGGCTCAGCAGCTTAGGAACTAATTATCTCTCCACTTCCAACTCTATAAAGAGAATTCAGATGTATTGAAAAAGATTGTAACACATTCATTCTCTGAAGATGTTATAATTCCGATAATGACATCAGAACAAAATAAAGCCCCAGAAGAAGAAATTTCTCTATCAATCTCATAAATATAGCAGTAAGAATTGTAAAACATGAAAAAATGGAATGCATTTATAACTCTTAAGGATAAACCTGCAAGCATAATTTTAAAATATTCATATCATGGGTAAGTCAAATAAGAAAACAATGATCCTTTCAATTAGATGTCATAAAGACATCTGGTGAAGTTTAATACCCATGCCTAATAAATAGGTAAAACGAGAAAACAAAATGCTTCTATGATTTGAGCAAAGAATACTTACTTTCCATATAAATATCAAGGCATTTTATAAAGTAATATTTTAAATAATGTACTATATTGTTGTTATATGCCATCGAGTCGGCCCCGACTCATAGCGACCCCTCCTTGGGTTTCTGAGGCAGTATCACTACGGAAGTAGATTGTCCAACCTTCCTTCCGAGGAGTGGCTGGTGGGTTGGTTAGACTGTTAACCTTCTGGTTAGCAGTCAAGTGCTTTAGCCACTATGCTGCCAGAGCTCCCCTAATGTACTATAGGAGCAGGAATAAACAAATCAGTTGGGAGAACAGGCTGGAAAATGATAGAAACCGTTGCCTTCATGTGGGACTTTAGTCCACGGAGAGCTTTTCAGTAAAAAGCATGGAGACACCTGAGTACCTACTTAAGAAAAGGAAGTGAAGTTCCTACTTTATACCCTTCACTAAAAATTAATTGCATGTGGCTCAATGAGTCAAACGTGAAAACAAGACTCTAGTAGGATCAGAAGAAAACACAGGGATGTAGGTTGAGAACCTTGGGCTGTGGAAGACCTGAAACACGACATAAAATGAAAGACCAGAAAGGAGGTGACTGATCAACTGGATTTTATCAGAATTCGAAGCATTTGTATGAAACAAGATGGCATAAAGTTAAGCAACAGGCAAAAGGAATGTGGAAGAAAGTAATTGAAAATATACAACTAGGGACCAAATAAAAAACAAAATCCAACAGCTGAATAGAAAAACCTGTAAGGGATACAAATAGGTAACTCATCAAAGAAGGAATAGAGCAAGGTGCCAGTTTTGTTGGTTTTTTTTTCCCCAAAACGAAAAGTGTTACTGATGAGCTCGGGCAGGCTACGAGAAATGAGGATTTTCTTCCTTGATGGTGGGGCATGAATTGGAGCAGCTGGTGTGGAGAACAATTCAACAGGTTTTATTGAAATAATGTATACACCTAAATAATGTGTTGTTTTGACCACATCGGTAAGACATGGAGAAAAATCATCAACACTGGGGCAGAGTGTTTGAAGATGGATTTGCCTGATGTGGCGTTTTGAAGACAAAACAGATTTTTAAAGAAATGAATGGCACCAGATCCCATTCACACCACCAACAGAAACACATTATTTGTGGAAGTATACTTAGGATGACTGATTTAGGGAAAACAAAATTTTACTTGGAAGTTGTGGTGGTTAAGTGTGTGTGTCAACTTGGCTAGGCCTGGTTGAATGGCTGGGCAGCTGGACGTAGCATTCCACATGATGAAACTGGTAATCAACTCCATGGTGGGATCTACTGTGAGCAGCTGAGTAGCTGCCTTTGGGTATGTGGTCTGCTTCCTGTATGAAGAAGCAGCTTTGGGAATGGTTTCTAGTTTACGGCACGCTTGAACCCTACATGTAGCTGTTTCGTCGTTCAGCAGCCTGCCATACTCTGGTGACCTAGGGACTTACAATGGACTTAAATTAATGGCCTGCCGTGTGTTTTGGTAACATTGGTACTATGCCTTTTGACTTGTCAACCTTGGGTTTGTTAGCCTCAGCGGCCAACAGCTGTCTGAGTGAAGAAAAGCCTCTAGCTCTAGCAGGCCAGGAAGAGAGGCAGAGCTGAAGTCCAAGGTTGAGGGGCTTTCACCCAGCCCCTAGAGCCTGGCACTTTGAACTCTGACTTAAAGCCTCCAAATAGTAAGAATAAACTCCAGTTTGTTAAGGCCATCCCATTTGTGGTATATTCTCGTCAGAGCAGTACTAGGTAACCAGAACAGCAGTATAAAAGTAATATTAAATAAAAGCTGAGGCCTTCAGGGAAAACAGTGTATGGTAAAGATCCCCTTTGCCCCAGGCAACATCTGTAGAGTGATGTGATCCCAAAGTCCCACCAGGGGGTTCATTTTACTTTGTCTTCCCCTATCCCTCCCACCCCAAACTAAACAATATTGTTATGAAATTAAAGGGAGGTAAAATGGGGTTCCCACCACCTATCTGTCCTTTTGTCATACTGTGGTAACTTTCATGTGGCCATGATGCTGGGAGCTGTATCACTGGAACTGCAGATCCCAGCAGGGTCGCTCATGGTGGACAAGTTTCAGTAGAGCTTCCAGAGTCAGACAGACTGGGCGGAAAGGCCTGGTGAGCCAGTTCTGAAAACCAGCCAATGAGAACTCTGGACCACAGCAGAACATTGTCTGAACAGTGCTGGAAGATGAGCCCTGTAGGGATGAAGACACTTACAGTCCACAGTGCAGCCCTGGACCCGAACATCCCAAAGGTCGTGAAGGTGGTCAGGACCTGGAAGTGTTTCACTGCGTTGGATGTGAGGTTGCTATGAGTTGGAACTGACTCCATGGCAGCTAACAACAAAATTGGGTAATACTTGGGGATGTTAAACCATATTCTGAAAAAGAAGTACAGAAGACCGACCCTGGTAGATAAAGTCTTGTGCAACAAATGGAGCGGTCAGGCGGCCGCAGTAATAAACAGTAGGCTTTGGAAGACCAAAGGAAAGGAAAAGAGTATTTGTTGATGGGGAGTTGGCAGCTGGGTCCTGCGCTCCCAGTTCAGTGGTTGTCGTGTGGCATGTCCAAGTCTCTTTTCCACCCCCTTACGCTGCTGTCTTGTTGTCTTGCTTTTGCTGCAGGTCCAAGCTTTGTCATCCGCCAGTAAGTTTGAAGCGGAGTTAAAAGCAGAGCAAGAGGAGCGGAAGCAGGAGGAGGAGGAGAGGAGGCTCCGCCGGGCAGCGTTCCGGGAGCTCAAGGCTGCTTTCAGCACATAGTCCTGCTGACCTCGGCTTTGACCTCCGTCCACAGCTGTGCCTTACAGATGCCCCTGGGAGAGAGGGCCGCCTCCCCTTAACCCGGTGGGCCCTCTCTTGTACTCCATCCACCATTCCATGCAAACTCCTTAGATAGCCTCGCAGTGGTGGCAGACTGTTGCCTCTTCCCAGTGCTGGAGCCGTCCCGAGAGGATCCTGGGATGGCCAGGTGCCCTGCTCACCTTTCTCTCCTGCCCTCTTCCTTCCTCCGTCCTTCTCTCATAGCCAGAGTCTGCCTTTTCTTGGCAGCCTGTCCTCTTTCCTCGTTCCTTTACCACTCTACATCAGAGTGGTGTGCTGGGTCACTTGTACGGTTCTTTCTTTTGTGGTCATTAGAGTTGGTGCTGCAGGATCCCTGGAGGGTGTGGTTTTACCGTTGCCTGTTTTCTTGGAGAATTTGTCTCTGGACACACACACACACACACACACACACACACCCCGCCCTTTGTTTCCCATCTCATTCCCTTGTTCTCATTCTTAGCTTGATTCTGCTAGTTGCTTTGGCCCCTTCTCTCCTCCTTGGTGCAGCTGGAGTTTAAGGGAGGCTGGGGTGGGTCACTATCCACCCCTTGACCAAGAGATGAGTAGCCCAAAGCTGAGATGACACAAAATAGAGAAAAGATGGAACCTTCTTCCTGTCTTCTTCCTGTCTTCCTGTCTTCCAAGCCTTCCCCTTGGATAATTTTCTATTTGAACCTTTTCCACCCTTAAATGCTATGCTACTTGACCGTAACAATGAAGGAAAAACCAAACCAAACTTACTGCCATGGTGTCGGATCTGACTCATAGCGACCCCTCCTTGGGTTTCTAAAGCAGTATCACTGAGAAAGTAGATTGCCCAATCTTCCTTCCAAGGAGCGGCTGGTGGCTTTGAACCGCCAGCCTTCTGGTTAGTAGTCAAATGCCTTAGTCACTATGCCACCAGAGCTCCTTAGGATGAAGGAGTAATTAGAATTAATGTTACTGAATAGCAGTATTCTTGTTTAACTCTAACTCTATGCAAATTATATTATAGTAGAACCATGGCATTCCAAATGGACAAGTCCAGGACCTTCCCAAATCCCAAAAGTCATGGCCTTACTCATCATCTACCCAGGTTCCAACATCTCCCAAAGTTCTGAGGTAGAGATTTTTTTTTCACCTTTTTTTTTTTTTTTAATGTTATGAGCTTTAGAGTTTACTTGCAAATACCAGGGGTTTGCTGTATTTTCAAAAAATAATTCCTCATGTAATATTTATTCTCTTTTGTAGCCACTGTCTTTTCAATAAAGGAAATTTCTACCTTACAGCCGTTTCTTATTAAATAAACTGTGTAAATGGACTCTGTCATCACACCAGCGTGGATGGGGAGAGAGAGGGATATTTTCTTTAGGGGTCAATCCAACCCATTGTTAAGTGCTGTGGAGTTGGCTCCAACTCTTAGCAACCCTACGTGTGACAAACACACAACAAAATGGTGCCCAGTTCTGGGCTGTCCTCACGATTCTTGTGAGGTTTGCATCCACTGTTGCAGCCATCGTGTCAGTCCATCTCCTTGAGGGTCCTCCTGTTTTCTGCCCACCCTCTGCTTTTCCAAGCATCATATCCTTCTCCAGGATTGGTCTCCTGATGATGTGTCCGAAGAAAGCAAGATGAAGTCTTGCCATCCTCAACTTCTAAGGAGCATTCCGGCTTTACTTCTTCCAAGATGGATTTGTTCATTATTCTAGCAGTCCGTGGTAAATTCAGTATTCTTCACGAACATCATAATTCAAATGCATCAGTTCTTCTTAGGTCTTCCTTATTCATTGTCCAGCTTTCATGTGCAGAGTAGGCAATTGAAAATACCATGATTTGGTCAGATGCACCTTAGCCCTCAAAGTGACATCTTTGCTTTATAAGATTTTAAAAAAGTCTCACAGCACATTTGCCCAGTGCAATGTGTCATTTGATTTTTGATGGCTGCTTCTGAAATAGGACCAAACGCAGGTCCCTGCCTGGTGCACAGTCAGGCCAAAACAGTTTACACACTGAGTGATTACGAGGAGAGAAAATTATTTATTGCAAAGAGGCAATGCAAGGAGTAGGGGTGCCCCCATACCCAGATCTGACTCCCTGAAACTCCATCGAATTACAGTTTTGTAGGTTTCAGAAGACAGGGTTATGCATATTCATAAAAATTGTAGGAATTTGGGCATGAGATGGTTGACAATTGGCTGAAATTTCCTTCACCTCGGTTTAAAGGGACAGTAGCAATTAGAGTCAGTGTACCTGCTTACCGGATGAGTCACACCGGCTTCCTGTCATCAGCTGATCGATTGGGGCTTAGGCAGAGGGGAGAGTGTTAGTTCCCAGTAACTTTATTCCTCTCTGAGACCCCACTGCACATGTCCACGGGCCAGAGTTAATTTTCAAGTTGTTTTCTAAGACATTAATCACCTGTGCCTAAGGAAATAGCAGGAAAGAATGTTTCTTGTCCATTCAGTTCTTCAGGAACTGAGCTTATTGTATTTACTCATCTGTCTCCAACCAGCATCCTATGTGTTTACTCATCTATCTCCAGCCGGGGTCCAAGGTGGGGAAATAGCTGAGGGTAATTAAGTTTATTTATCCACTCCCATCCTGGGTCCTATCTGTTCTAATTATCTGCCTTAACCAAGGTGGGGGAAATAGTTTTGACTTTACTCGGTTTCACTTCCATGAGGCAGCATGGATCTAAGTGAAATGAAATTCTTGACAACTTCATTTTTTTTTTTTTTTCTGTTTATCATGATGTTGGTTATTGGTGTGTTTGACACCAGGTCCCTGAAGAACATATAGGAATGGCAACAACATGTCCCCTTCCATTGTTGGCTCCCTACTTTCAAATTCTAGCCCCTGTTCACCTCTCTTGCACCAACTTTTTCCCATCCTCCCTTTCCTTTGCCCTTCCAAGCTGTATATTCCACGCATGTGCTGTTCCTGGAGAGGGCCACACCTCCAAGCTTCCGCACAGATGGTTTCTCTGTCTGGCCCTTCCTCTCTCTTATTGGCCAACTACTACTCATTGTTTGACTCAGTTCAGAGGTTATCTTCCGGAAAATTTCTTGATGTTCCCAGGCTAAGTGAGGTGCCCCAACTTGGGATTCCCATTTCACCCTGAATTTTTCTTCATTGTAATCTTTATGGTTCTGTGAAGTACCTTCTTTACCTCTCTGCCAACCCCTTTGTACAACAAACTCTGAAGGACAGGAACTCTTCCTGACCCACTGCTAGAGGCCAGCACAATGCCTGGCATGTGGCAGGAATCATTATATGTTTATTTCACAAAGTCAGACATGGTTTGGTGGAGGGGACAGAGGTGGGTAAGGAAGGATCCCTATCGCTGATGCCAGGAATCTTCTAAACACCCGCAACAGAAGAGCCTGGCCCAAAGGGACAACTCTGAAAAGGAGGACATTAGAGATTGTGGGACATCGATTTCGCTGGCAGAGTGATGAGTCCCCTCCCTGGGGCCACTGCTCTGGAGGCTGTGTGATAGAATTTGGAGTCAGTTGAGTAATTGAACCTCACTGAGTCTCAGTTTGCTCACCTGACAATGGGGATGATGATCACCTATCTGGCAGTTTCCATGCCTGACATATGTTTAGTGCTCAGGACATATGAGTCTTGTCTTTACCCTTCACCCTCACTATTGCCACTGAGCCTGCATCTCTGAAGTCAGATCCAAGGAGTTCCATTCCAGGCTCGGTGGAGGGGACAGAGGTGGGCAAGGCAGGATCTCTACAACTGATGTCAGCAACCTTCTAAACAGAAATGCTCAGAGCTCCGTCTTTAAAAGGTAGCATCGGTCTACCGTACTTGTCCTGCTGAAAGTGGACCTGGCTGCTGCCTTGGTCCAAGCACAGATGCTCGCTCACCCAGGCCCTCTGTTCTTTGGAGGTCCCTTTCCCAACGAGCCCAGGGAGATTTTTGCCAATCCTCCTGCTCACCTGCTCTGCTTCCTGCAGTCCCTAAGCTGCTGAGCCCTCAGGTTCTGTCCGTGTGATCCAACGCCTGTGGCCTTACCCCTGCTCAGGTTTCTCCTTACTGACCCTACCTGTCTACGAGGCCACGTTCTGAGCATAGCCCTGCCACCCGGGCAGACTGTATAGGTCTGGCTTATTTATCTAGTGCTTCTATAACAGAAATGCCACAAGCTGATGCCTTTAACAAACAAACTAATTTTTTTCAGGAAGTGTGAGTCCTCTTACTTTGTTCTTCTCCTTCAGGATTGTTTTAGATAATTGAGGCTTCTTGCCTTTTCATATAAAGTTGAGGGTTGGTTTTTCTGTTTCTGTAAAGAAAGCTGTTGGAATTTTGATCGGGATTGCATTGAATCTATAGATCACTTTGGGTAGACTGGCATCTTAATATTGAAAATTTAATACAAGTCTTCCAGTCTGTGAACATTCATTTAAGTCTTTAATCTCTTTCAACAGTGTTATATAGATTTCATTGTATAAATCCTTCACGTTCCTGGTTAGATTTATTCCTAGATATTTTATTTTCTTAGATGCTATTGTAAATGGAATTGTTTCTCTAATTTCCCTTTCAGATTTCTCATTCCTAGTGTACAGAAACCCAACTGATTGTTGCCTGTTGACATTGTACCCTGTAACTTTGCTAAATTCTTCCATCAGCTCTAGAAGTTTTCTTGTGGACTCTTCAAGATTTTCTATATATGTGGGATCATCATCCACTAATAGAGATAATTTTACTTCTTCTTTTCTAATCTGGATACATTTTATTTCTTTTTCCTGTTTTATTGCTCCAGCTAGAACTTCTAACACAATATAGAATAGAAGTAATGAGAGCAAACGCTCTTGTCTTATTCCTAATTTCAGCTCTCAACCTTTCTCCATTAAATATAATGGTGGCTGTTGGTTTTTCATATGTGCACTGGCTCATATTGAAGGATTTCCCTTCTATTCCAATCTTCTTAAGGGATTGCAAGAAAAGGT